TTGCCAGTCCATTAAGAAACTGCCTTATAAACATGGTAAATGGAACATGATTTATTTTTATAGTTTAAAAAAAGAAAATCACTTGATTGTTATATTATTTATTTGTTTGAATGACGACCTTCCATAACAAATATCTCAACTAAAACATTGATTGTTACCATGGTTACAGAATGCATTAAACTTTTAAATTATTACTTATCTCTTGTCCCACCCTCCCACTTAATCCTGCACTAACTCACACATGCTAATAATTACCCACAACACTCAATCCCCGCCCCTAGGGGCAGACCTGACCCCCCACAGTTCAAACCCTCCCCACAACAGTGATCCCCAGGGCTATCCTAATTGACTTGTTTACAGGAGGGAGAAAAACACACGGAGAAGGTATTAAGGGGGGATAGGTACCCCCAATTCCTCAAGGTTTGTGAAACTGCATCCCAGAAACAAAGGTTAAATAAGATCAAAGTGGATTAATTTTTTCCCCACCTGGGAGTGGCCACTATCGAGTGCAATGGCCTGCACTGCAACTAACTGCTCAATGTATTCATGGGCAGCTGGAACTACTTTCGGAGTAACAGTAAACCCTGAGCTTAGACTATGGGAATTTCTGGTCGAACAACTAGAAATGGAAGGTCTGACTTAGAACACGTTTGATCCTTGTTCACTCATAAAATATTTCTTTTAATCCCCAGTATGCACATAAATATACATACTTATATTATTTTTTTAAAGAATATTTAATGAAGCTGAACTGTTTGTGAAATCAAATCAAGCTATTGTGGATCTTAATTGCAACTTACATTTTTCATCAAAATGCCATGTGTATTTTGATATGAAAATATATATTTTCCTTTCAGATAAAAACAGATCTGTCAGTTTCATTAATTTGTGACTCAAGTCATGTTCATGAGGATGAAAAGTGTGCAAAGTTGTACTTGAACCAGAATTAAATCAAAACATTATAGAGTTGTTAGCAACGCGAGATTAGTGATTTCTTTCTCCGTAATGGAGGCCTCGTGTATATCCTTATTGAACATGAATAACGAATGGTGCCAGTGAGGCAAGAAAGACTCAGCCAATCAAAGACAAGATGAGCATATAAATGATTCATTCTGTTGATAAGCCGGGACATTTCACAGATTAAGTTTCAAAAACCAAATATATCCCCAGGTCCCCTACATCACCCGTCATCTTATGTCTCACATTTAGACGACAGCACAAATATGCCTTGAAAGCAAATTTCAAAATGGCTCTCATGCTACTAGGATCCTTCTGTAAAGTTAAACTTCTCGATTCAATGACAAAGAAAGTCCTTCTTCTGACAGAGTATGTGTTTTTATCGGGGATATAAATTATTCACTAACAGAGCTGATAAGGTTACTCGGGCCTGGCTCTTCCTTTCATTACAAAATCCCAAGATTTGCAGTGTGGTTTCCATGGTTACACAATGTTTGAGATCTAAACACATGTTGCAGCCTGTACCTGAACTGTATCACGTTTTACAAAAAAACACAATTCTCTATTTCGTCCTAGGATTCTGGTTTTAGGAAACTTGGATTTTTCATTATAGAGATAAATTTGAAGGAAGTTGTGTGTTGGTGTTTAACATACAAATCAGTTAAAAATTTATGATTTCTCCATCTAAACATATTTCAGTACTATTGATTCTGGGGTTTGGCGACAAGTTGCATTTACACAAAAAAGAAGTATCGATTATTTCAGGTTTTTTTTGTACTTCTGCAGAAATAAATCATTAAAAAAAGAAAGATCTTACCAGGACTACAAGTTGTTCATGATCATAGGTGTTGTGTATTATGCACAAGACACAAAATCATCTATTTCAAACATAATGAACTTCTATTTAATTCCAATTTTAAGTTTGAACAAATTAACATCACAAAAGAGCCAGAGAAAAATGAAGCCTGAAGATATAACAGGGTTTCACCTGATGCAGAAATGTGCATCCAGTTACAAATATATAGAATTGACGCAGAGAAAATATATATTGCATCTTGGGACAGTAATATTCTTTGTACCAAATTCTTGAGAAGGGAGTGAGTCTGGTTTTATGCCGCTTTAAGCAATATTCCAGCAAACTCCCGTCAAGGGACACCAGAAATGGGTTTCACGCATTGTACCCATGTGGGTAATTGAATCCGGGCTTTCTGTGTGTCGAGCGAATGCTTTAACCACTAGGCTACCCCACCGCCCCAAACCTTGAGAAGAAATATAGAGGTCCTGTAAAAAAAATTGGCAAAATCTTCCATGACACTACACAATTTCTTTACAGGATCCTCATATTTACTTTAAGGACCCTTGAAATTAATGATTGGTGGACCCTGGACCCTAAGTTTTGGAAGTCAAGGTACAACCAAGGTCTTGAACTCAGCTCAACTGAGTGAGTGAGTATGGTTTTACGCCGCTTTTACCAATATTCCAGCAATATGACGGTGGGGAACACCAGAAATGGGCTTCACACATTGTACCCATGCCGGGAATCGAACCTGGGTTTTTGGCGTGACAAGCGAACGCTTTAACCACTTGGCTACCCAACCGCCCTGTCAACTTGTAGAGAGAGCACCGCGTTCTTGAATCCTTTCCCTTGTGTACACTATCAAACATCATCCCACACAAACTGACACAGATCAATCGTCCCACTGACCAGAAACAATCCTTGGACCAACTATTTCCACATTTCGAAATACAAATAAGCGAACACATGCCACGATTCCCTGCCCCCACAGGAAGTGCTCAACAATCTACTTCCACTCATCAAGCAGTAAAACAATTGGGACAATCATCCAACACTTCCTCAATGACCCATTGTCATTATTACCCACCACTGAAATACGGATCCTTAGTTACCATTTGATATTGACATCATATCAACATTATTCTAAAATACCCCACATGGCTATTTTTACCAATAGAAACTAGCTGACGACAATAATTATGAAGTATCCTGCATCACCTTTACTTTGAATCTTTCTTAGGCCTTTTATTGGTTAGTTTACAAATTGACATCAAATATTTTAAAAAAATAATGACATTAACAATTATTTGTATTTTCACCTGTTTTCCTATCTGGTATCTTTCCAACAAGTAAAGGATATAAATTAAATTTGTTTGGTGAATAAATCTACCACCATTTACAAACTGATATGCTCCTGAAAATGGTTGTTGTTTAACACCACATTCAGCAATGTTCCAGCTATATGATGGTGGGGCTTGAATATAATTGAATCTGGACCAGACAATCTGGTGATTGATAATGTGAGCAGCGATCCACGTCATCGGTGTACGATGACATGCAATCAAGCAAGTCACCCAATCTGACCACCCAATCCATTTGGTCGCCTTTTACGACCAGCATAGGTTGCTGGGGAGCATCACTTACCCAGAATCCCCAAGGATGCTGACAACAAAGACAACGATGGACAGATTAAAGATGATGTTCTCCTCGACTTACACTCTAAATATGAACGGGCGTATACAAAGATGCCAAAATCGGCATCTACTGACACATTAATGTTACTTTGGTAGTTGTTTTTAAAAATATATTTCCCTGACTACTTATGACGATTTTTTCCCCAAAACATTTTGTAAAAAAAAACGTTGGTAAGAAATTCGCAATATTACTCTACAGTAATGTCTTGCTGACCGTATAATAGTGTATATGTCATAATACTCATATAGTATGACATTTTAACCTTTTTGAAAAGAATACACATGTCGCATACATGTTCATGTATTGAACCAAGACAATCAGTCACCTTGTTGAATGATAAATGACAGTTGCTTCTTTTCAATTATTCATAAATATCCTTGATATCTACAGATGCTGGTGCTACAGGTATGACTCAGCATGAAGCCTTACACAATACAACCTTTGTTGCACAATATTGCCCTGATTACCACCCCTCTCCACACACACAGGATGCTATAGCTACATACTGGACAATATTCCATATTTTTATCAACAAAGTTGATGTATACACAATGTTGACACTTCTGTCATCTTTCCCTATGTAATAACACTTTTATCCAATTTTTGATACTAAATAACAACTTCTTTCAAGTCTTAAAATATATCAACAAATTGTTCAACATTTGGAACAAAGTACTCGTTCTTCAACAGTAACTGTTCTTATTGACTCATAATACAATCAAGTTACCCAATACAGAATATCAAAGGTTAGTTTTTCTCAATAATCCCTGAAAGTGTATTGTATGTATGACATCAAAAATCTAACTGGTATTTTCAACGATCATTTATGAAAGTACAAATTTCAGTATGACACCAAAACCTATGACTATGATATTTCCTTCTCATGATCGGTGTATTAACAGACTAGGAAATAAAACAGGATATACAAGCTATATCACAACTGTTGATCTCATCATGTCCGTACACTTACAAACGTAAGTACTTTATCTGCGTCCTCATTGTGACCATTTAATCACACACTCTTGTTCAGTCATATATGATTGCGTTTGATTTGGGCATCTCTTGAAAACACTGTTATCTTACTTCGAAACTTCACGATTTTTAACTTTTGATAAATTGTCATATATGCATATATACCAGCTGATGTGAAACCAAACCACGTTCTATGAAGTAACTGATCAACAATATCAAAGCTACATCAGAATCATCACAATGTCGAATATAATTAAAACTTGTATTACACTCGAGTAGTCATAACAGTGCATCGTAAACTTAAGTTGGTTGAATGACAGTTGAATAAACAAACTTTCAACACAAAGTAAACAACTTTGGAAAACGGACCAATACGACATATCTACGACACTCATTCATCCACGAATCACCGAACAACGAATCAGTAATGGAAGAAATAAATAAACTGTTACCCCATAACCACCCTAAAACAGAACATTTCTCGACATCACCTGTCAACTTCACAATAATGTGCACAGCCAAATCCAACATGGCGGCCAAAATTCGCCGAGCCCCGAGTTACCAACTTTCGCCGACTTACTTCAAAAAGTACCTTTGTCCGATCGATGTTTTAGCAATGTCCCAGCCAGGGGGTAAGGGTTGATCATCTGTCACTAGGTCGTAACTGTGCTGTCGCATGTGTTGAGGGGGTAGAGGTGGAGCCGCGCTAAGCGTCTGCTGCAAACTTGCAGGGGAGGAATGGGCCCGACTGTGAGCTATGGCCATTCCTGCGACTGAGTTCGGAGGGGACGGGTACCCTGAAATGTCTCCATCGACAATGTTCTTCTGACTATCTGGTTGTTGGAAGAAAGAAGCGGGCAAGTTTCTCATCCGAAGAGGGACTGGCGATGGTTTTGTGGGATCTTCTGGAGGGTTTATCACAACTTTAAACAATTCCTCGAATGCTTGGTCACTTCCGTCCCGAACATGCACTACCTGAGAACCCTTGCGTTCTGTCCTTTCGAGCGACATTTTGGGTGAAAATTTCACTCAAATCACACAAAACAGAGTCTGATTAATGCTCCCAGTCGAGACTTCCTCCCCTTTCACGAAAATAATAGCAGTAAATCCCGAAGTTTTCCTGGCAAGAAATGAGGTGAGTCGAGTCACCATTGGAGTGGGCACGAAATTGAGTTTACCCACACCGCATCACTACTCGTGTAACAGGTACGAGCATCCGAGGTCGAAAATAGTCCGGGAGAAAATGAACGCTCACTCTCCGCTTGGTGGAGCTATTGCAATTCTGAACAATTGGTAGAAAGTGATGAGTAACAATTGTTTGTCACAATAACTTATGCAAACGCGTTACGGAAATTAAACAAGCGAGTTAAACGGACTATATAGAGCGGATATGAACAAGGTCACTTGAACAGCTGACGTCATGAGTGCTCTCCCGTTTGGGACGTTCACCAACCCCGAGTTTCAGCGAAATGAGACGAGAGGCAAGGCGAGTTGGTCAATAAATAGGCCGCCACGGTTGAGTAGCTGATTAAAGAAAACACCTTTGAGTGACCTAATCAAACTGTCATTGCAAAGGTGTTGTCAATTAACTGGGGGCGGGCCGAGGTTAAGAGAACTGACCAATTCCCGAGAATGACACGACAGGGGGGCTTTGCCCGTTTCCAAATAAGGAATTTTGCGTGATCGAATTGAAACGACTTAACCTGTCAGTCAAATGTTTCTCTCATTTGACATAACGTTGAAGCGGGGGCGTGAATTTACAGTTTTATTTTCCTAAATGTGAAAACTTTGTCTTTAAAACATCTTTTTGTAAATACGTAACAATGAATCACTCCGCTTGGGTGAATGGGCGAATCATGAATGAGGCTGGCGACCTACGTGCTTCATAGTAAGTGTGTACTACGGGTAAATAGCAAATGACCCGAATATACAACAGTGTGTTATTGCACCCGCTGCGCACGTGAGGACAAGATAAATTACCGCCGTCCGTATAGCACGAGATCACTGTGCGTGAAACAACCGGTGATTATCACGTTTATTTCCCGAGGTACCAAGAAGATGAACATGATCGATTTTTACAATTTTGAATAATTGATTGAGTCTATTGATTTTGAACTGCTTTGCCGAATATTTTGGTTTCCTTTGTTCTGGGTAATTCATTTTACATCACCTTAACCGATTGAGTTTTATAATTCATAAAACTTGCAATGTGGACTTAGAAATGATTTTTTATTTTACATTGGCTAACATTTTAAGGAAAGAATTTTGCAATTATTTTTAAATGTATAAATATTTTATCAATATGAGTTATTTCAAATGTACAAATGTTGTCTAATAGAACACTGCAATGTTTTAAAATTTTAATTTATACAAAAGTTTAGCTTTGAAGGATATCCATCAATCAGATGTGAACAAACTCGTAAGCTCTGGACGCAAATATTACTAACCAGTAATAATATCTAAATATTCCCCATATGTTTCATATTTTCATTGTTGTCTTAATAATCTTAGAGAGCAAATAATTAAGAATGTGTGCGCATGAGTAAGTAAGTAAGTGGTCATTGATTGACACTACTTTGTAAAAATAAAATTTTGTTGTTGTAAAAAGACGATTAAAAAAAGAGACGCCAAAATGCATATCCAGCTTCAATTTTTAACATTAAAATTGTATAATTTCAGTTAAATATTTTGTAATCTTTTGTGCATTTGGTTATAGATCATAGGGGATGAGACAAGACAGTGTAGCTTTATCATAATAACAGGTGTTTGTTTGTTTGTGTGTGTGTGTGTGTGTGTGTGTGTGTGTGTGTGTGTGTGAGAGAGAGAGAGAGAGAGAGAGAGAGAGAGAGAGAGTTAGTTTATACAAATCATTTGCTTTGTTGTTTTACGCCGCACTCAGCAATATTCCAGCTATATGACGGCAGTCTGTAAATAATCGAGTCTGGACCAGACAATCCAGTGATTGACATCATGAACATCGATTCTCGCAATTGGGATCGAAGACATGCAAATGTCAAATCAAACTCACCTAAAGAATTGATGCATTGCAAACGATTAACAAAGAACAAAAAACTCCCGTGAGACAAAAATATTTCAGTTCTAATACCAACCTTTATACTAGTAGGTGTTTGTCCATCAGTCAGGGCGGACAAACATGCCCTTCCCACGTGGACGGGATGACCCTCTGATTGTCAGATATACCGTTATATCTGAAGGGGAGTATAGCAGATATAGCCCCGGTACATACACACACTTGTATAAGAGACGCGATATAGTGTTGTTATGCTTGAACATTTATTTCAGCTGTCTAACTATGTAGCCATGCTTTATTCTTGATTCAATACTATCTGTAGTTTATATATTATATATATGTATATGTATATAGGTGCACGAATTAATATTATCATCTCATTAACATATAGCGCCTCGTTTATAAGTATTGATGACGTCTCAAATCATATAGGCGGAAGGTATGTATACGTTTTTGATAAAATAATACTGTAAGACGACAATAAATTAATTATTCAATTGTCATCCATATTTGTCATAACGGGAGACGAGGGAATGTTTTTTTTAAATATTTTCTCTTGCCGACGGATATGATTCACACGAAGAAAGGCTGTTTGGTAGGACAGTGTATATGTTGTATTTTCAGGAAGTAAAGCAAGAAGAACCCACGCTTCTGTAGGAACTTGGGACAATACAATGACGTGAGGCGGGAGAGGATGAGTGTGTGAGTGAGTATGGTTTTACGCCGCTTTTAGCAATATTCCAGCAATATCACAGCGGGGGACACCAGAAATGGGCTTCACACATTGTACCCATGTCGGGAATCGAACCCGGGTCTTCGGCGTGAAGAGCGAACGCTTTAACCATTAGGCTACCCGACCGCCCCGGGAGGGGATGAAATTCATGTATTATGGCCTAAAGGAACCCAAGAGCGTCTTAAATCCAGGGGCTAATTTTGGATGAAAATGGGATTTTTTATGATTTATAAAATGTCCATAGAGACTCAATACTCTAGGGTTTGTAAACGAGGCTATATAGACCGCACTGTTTGGCAATATATGCCTGATATATGGCATCGCGTATCATCGTACCCGACGGGCTGGATTGTTGTTCACAACATCAATCACTGGATTGTCTGGACCAGACTGAAATATTACAAGCCGCCGTCATAATTATGGTTGTAATATTGCTGGGGGCGGTCGGGTAGCCTAGTGGTTAAAGCGTTCGCTCGCCACGCCGAAGACCCGGGTTCGATTCCCGACATGGGTACAATGTGTGAAGCCCATTTCTGGTGTCCCCCGCCGTGATATTGCTGGAATATTGCTAAAAGCGGCGTCAAACCATACTCACTCACTCACTGTAATATTGCCGAGCGGGCGTCAGTGACAAGCAAGCAGTTCGTTATATGGCATCAATACTTTAAGTGACCACAACCATGAACCCGAATGAAATCTAACTATCAGGAAGGTAAATTACACCCACTCTTGTGTTTATAAAGATAAAGTGTCCTGGTGGATATGAAAAAATATTTGTATAATAGATAGATGCACGAGACTCGTAGCCTTGACCGCAGTCATTATCAGCGAACAGATGTATGTGTGTCTGTTACCGGCAGATCGTAGGTGACGCACATTTCGTGATAAAAATATACACATAAAAGTACACAATAAGGCCACGTCAAATAGTTATAACATGCCTTAAATTGATGCCAATATGGTATTGAAAAGGCAGTCTGATCTTCTAGAACATGTATAAATGTATTTGTTCTATATGTTTTTAGTCGACCAACGCGTAGGTTTGTTAGTTGTTTAACGCCGCACTCAGCAATATTCCAGCTATCTGACGTCGGTCTGTAAATAATCGAGTCAGGACCAGACAATCCAGTGAGCATCGATCTACGCAACTGGGATACGATGACATGTACCAACCAAGTCAGCGAGCCTGATCACCCGATCCCGTTAGTCGTCTTTTACGACAAGCATAGTCGCCTTTTACGGCAAGTATGGGTTGCTGAAGACCTATTCTACCCCGGAATCTTCACGGGTCGTCGCGTGTTCAGTCTCAGTGACTTGGATGTGATCGTATTCTGATGGCGGGGATCGTTCTTCATGCTTAAATCACTGGTTCGCCTGGTCCAGACCGTTTTGACATGGTTGGAATATTGTGACGTTGATTTCCTCAAATGGGACGAACACGTCTTTGAATAGCACGTCAGTGATATCTCTGGGCCTCTTATTGTCGGAAAACCGTGCGGCTATTCCGAGGTAGAATCGGTCCACCGCAACCAGTGCTGGTCCCAAGAGGATCGGGCGGTCAGGCGTGGTATCCCAATGGCGCGGATCGTTGCTGTTCACAATATCAATCACTGGATCTGATCCAGACTCGATTATTTTACACACTACCGTCATATAGCTGGAATATTGCTGGGTTTTACGTTAAACAACAAACAAACAAAACCGTACGTCTTCAGTAAACCCACGGGCACGGGTATTGAGCTCACATACCAAATTCACATAATCGGGGCGAATTTGGATTGTGGGATTCGACCCGTAGTCCTGTGGATCTTTACTTTAGAGAGAGTCCCCTTTAAAGGTGGACGTGGACTACAGCTACAGACAGGTGAATGTGTACGTGGACAACAGCTACAGACAGGTCAATGTGGACGTGGACAACAGCTACAGACAGGTCAATGTTGGTGTGGACTACAGCTACAGACAGGTCAATGTGGGCGTGGACAACAGCTACAGACAGGTCAATGTGGACGTGGACAACAGCTACAGACAGGTCAATGTAGGCGTGGACAACAGCTACAGACAGGTCAATGTGGACGTGGACAACAGCTACAGACAGGTCAATGTTGGTGTGGACTACAGCTACAGACAGGTCAATGTGGGCGTGGACAACAGCTACAGACAGGTCAATGTGGACGTGGACAACAGCTACAGACAGGTCAATGTAGGCGTGGACAACAGCTACAGACAGGTCAATGTGGACGTGGACAACAGCTACAGACAGGTCAATGTGTACGTGGACTACAGCTACAGACAGGTCAATGTGGGCGTGGACTACAGCTACAGACAGGTCAATGTTGGTGTGGACTACAGCTACAGACAGGTCAATGTGGGCGTGGACAACAGCTACAGACAGGTCAATGTGGACGTGGACAACAGCTACAGACAGGTCAATGTAG